TGAGAAATTAGCTTACTGCCAATATAGAAGTATTACATATATGCCATACACAAATATGGAAATTTTTAAACGACGATTATTGGTTGAAAATTCGAAACTATAAAAACTCTCCTCATCTACATAAACGGTGTTTTTGGTTTTGAAATCGGTAAATTTACCTTGGTCTTCATATTTGTTTTTATCTTTCACATCTTTGCTTTTATCCTTTTCTTTATCTATTCACGTAGATGAGATGAGGTGCGATGACGTGATAAGATGTGACGTGATTTTATATGTCGTGATGTGATAGGATGTCATGTCATATGCTGTCATATCCTGTGATGTCATGTCATATGATGTCATACCATATGATGTCTTATCATGTGATGCCACGTCATGTAATGCAATGTCATGTCATTCGATGCCATATAATGTGATGTCATATCATATGATGTCATGTCACGTGATATCGTGTGATGTGATATCATATTATGTGATGTAATATCACGTGATATAATGTGATGTGATGTCATGTAATTTGATCACATTCCATGTTCCGATTATTATATCGCTAACCTTGTCGATAAAAATACCGATAACAATATCCATAAGCATATAGAAAAATATAACGATTGCAAAATCGATTGATTCATCGATAAATATCACAATCATCAGTATCGATTATTATACATATCAATATCAATTACTAAATCGATAACAAAATCATTTTTTAATATATTATTATACCGATAACAATATCCATTATTGTATCGATAACAATATCGATAATTATATCGATAACAATATCGATTACAATAGCGGTTATTTAATCAATAACAGTATCGATAATAATATCGATTAATTTATCGAAAACAATATCGAGTTTCATATCGTTAAAAATATCCTCATCCTTTTCTTCATATTTATCTTAATTTTTGCATATTCCTCTTCACCTTTACCTTAAAGAGTTTAAATTTACTTTGATCTTCGTTTTTTCCTGTACCTCTAGGCATCTTTGTTTTTGTTTTTATTCTCAAACCGCTAAACCGCAGAGAACCATTCCCATGTGCTTTATTCCCCTTGAATTTGACAATTTTCTCCCAACCAACCAACTGCCGCTAAAGAAGTTTCACTTCATAAATTCAAGAAATGTTCTTACCCTTTCAGTTACTCAAATTCTTATGTATCTGTCATTGTCGCTATTTTCGTCTTTATCTTCACTTTTGCCTTCTTTTTTTTTACTTCACCGTTATCATTTATTTCTTCACATTCATATTTTTCTTTATTTGCAAATTGAACAGGTTGCAAAACCAACCACACACAAATATAGAAATTTTTAACGACGATTTTCAACCAATTTCGAAACTATACAAACTTTCCTCATCTACATAAAATTACCTTTCTAACGGGGTTTTTGGTTTTGAAATCGGCAAATTTACCTTGGTTTTCATATTTGTTTTTATCTTTCACATCTTTGCTTTTATCCTTTTCTTTATCTGTTCACGTAGATGAGATGAGGTGCGATGACGTGATAAGATGTGACGTGATTTTATATGCTGTGATAGGATGTGATGTGATAGGATGTCATGTCATATTCTGTCATATCCTGTGATGTCATATCATATGATGTCATACCATATGATGTCATATCATGTGATGCCACGTCATGTAATGCCATATAGAAAAATATAACGATTGCATAATCGATTGATTCATCGATAAATATCACAATCATCAGTATCGATTATTATACATATCAATATCAATTACTAAATCGATAACAAAATCATTTATTTAATCGATTATTATACCGATAACAATATCCATTATTGTATCGATAAAAATATCGATTATTATATCGATAACAATATCGGTTGCAATAGCGGTGATTTAATCAATAACAGTCTCGATAACGATAACGATTATTTTATCGAAAACAATATCGAGTTTCATATCGTTAAAAATATCCTCATCCTTTTCTTCATATTTATCTTTATTTTTGCATATTCCTCTTCACCTTTACCTTAAAGTGTTTAAATTTACTTTGATCTTCGTTTTTGCCTGTACCTCTAGACATCTTTGTTTTTGTTTTTATTCTCAAACCGCTGAGAACCATTTCCATGTGGTTTATTCCCCTTGAATTCGACAATTTACTCCTAACCAACCAACTGCCGCTAAAGAAGTTTCACTTCATAAATTCAAGAAATGTTCTTACCCTTTCAGTTACCCTAATTCTTATATATCTGTCATTGTCTCTATTTTCGTCTTTATCTTCACTTTTGCCTTATTTTACTTCATCGTTATCATTTATTTCTTCATCTTCATATTTATCTTTATTTCAAAGCTTAATTTCAAATGTGAAGTGAAACAACATGCAAAACATGTCAAATTGAACATGTTGCAGCAACATCTATACACAAATACGAAAATGTTTAAACGACGATTTTGGCCGTTATTTTCAACCAGTTGTGAAACCATAAAAACTCTACGGAAAAATGCCTTTCCAACGGTGTTCTTGGTTTGGAAATCGGTTCGGTAGAGTCGCCAAACGAACGGAGACAAAATTTATGTTATATTAATACAATATATAGATAAATTCAACTATTTCCTTTAATTTAATTTTAATTATAATAAAAAATCTAAGCAAGCAATGAAAGTGAATTAAACTATATTAAAAGGTTAATTCTTTAATATAATCTCTATCTTCCACACTATTTACATAATATAAAAAAGTCCCTTTTTTTATCATTTGGAACTCGAAATCGTTGAAAACACTGTTTGCATCAGACGCGTGAGCGACTTATTCTCTTCATTCTCTCCTCGTTTAGCGAAATTTAAATATATATTAGTGTGTGAGCTTTGGCCACCTCTGTTTTAGAAATATATTGTTTTTTTACGTTTTAGTCTGTATAAGAATTTTAGGAATATCCCGAATACCGAGTAAATTTTTGGCGGAATATTTCTTTTCAAGGTGCTGGCATATGTTTCAAATATGAACCAAATCGGTGCAGCCGTTTAGTAGTTCAGTGAAATACATTCACAGATACCTGTATGAAATTGTAAAGCGTAACGTCTCAGATTTCTTAATTTTTTGGCAGCAACAACAAAAAGTTTTAATTTTTTTAGCGAAAAATCTTCCACACAGAAGTTTCAAAAAAGTGCGATTGGTTATGCTTGAACACACTTAGGGCCGTTTTCTAATGTAAGCAGTAAAGTTGCCTTTACTAACAGGGCAGATAAATTGTTCCTCACTTTAAAGTGTTTTCGTTTTCTTATCGTACCTGTAAAAATAAATTTGTTATTCCGTAGAGTGAAACTTCTCTACATTTCCGAGAGTATAACTTCACTACATTCGTCATAAAATTTCAAAGGTTGACAATGCAACATCGCGTCGCCTGGGTATAAGATTGTCGTAAGCGCCATTTTGACGATTTTTAATTCTAAATGCAGTATATATTTTGAAATAAGGTCTTTCGATTGGTGTTATCAGTTTTTAGATATCCCCTTTAGTTTCCGAGATATTGACTACAACTTTTTCGATAATATAGTAAAAATTTAGATGGTGATGCAGTCATATTAAACTAATCAATATCTTAAAAATGGTGTGGTTTGTCGTATTTCATACAAACTGGCTGCCAAATTGTGGACAAATGACGCTTACAACAAAATTTTACTAAAGAAAATCCTTCATAAACTCAAAACTAATTAAAAATAAACATTAAAAATTAAATTATTTAAGAATTTTGTGAACTAGTAACATTTCTAGAGACTTTGGAGAAAATCTATCTTCACGTTTTTGTGAAATTGCATTCCAAACTTCAATCGTGATATCCCACAACCTGCCGAAATTAACATACGACAACCTTTTACCCAGGTGACGATAAGCAAATATAGAGCAAGAGCAACTGTTAGCAAAAACCAAAACCTTGGTTGAAATAAGTAACCGAAACCAAACCAAAATTTAAAGTTGGGTACAAATTTTTAAAGGTAGCATCGGGTAAGCAACTATTCATCGATTCGAGAAATTAATGCGCTGATCAGAAAACTAAAACTCGTATATCGAGACGATGAAGTGGCCGGTAATCTAATGGTTAGATGGGAAAACGGCCCTTAATTGAATGTCAGTAAAATTAAGTCTGTGGTTATATCAAGGCGAAACAGTCCGTTGCTAACTCTAAATATAAACAACGACGCACTAGAAAAAGTTAATACATTCAAATACCTAGGAATAGAGTTCGACCGATTCCAATTTTTTTTCAGGTACCCATGCCGATGCCGATGCCGATGCCGATTCCATAAAAAATTTAAGTAAATGTATTAATTCATAAAATCAGTTCATTTCACAGAGTTAAAAAAAATCAAAAGAAAAGAAATAACTGAATTAATTGGCTTGTTATGCAACATTACATACACGTGTATGTACATACATACATATGTATGTGTAAAAATATATGTACATATATCACATTTATGTACATTACATAAAACACTCTTTTATATGGTGCTAAGCAAAAAATATTTAGGAACATAAAATTTCATTTCGTTTTGTACTAAAATACACTCTTTTGCACTCAATGCATAAGAACTTATATGCTACGTATGTAAGTACATACATATAGTGGTCCACAAAATAAACGAATTGTGATATTTTGACCGATTTCGTCTTTTTTATTTAATGTTTATTATTTTTTTTATAAAAGTCTAGCTGGTATACAACAAACACCATATAAATTCAGACTTCAAACTTTGTAGAAAAATTAGAAAAATTCTGCTTATTTTCACCAAAATTTCTAACTTTTTAATCAGAATTTTGGTATGCAGTTTTGTAGACCATTTCATTCTAGTATAATGAAGTGCAAGTTTCAAGCTGCTATAAAATCCCGTTAATTTTTGGCAATTTTTTTTGCTGGCAGTGTTCTCCATATAAAAGAAAATTGTCGCACATACTTTTGTATGGAAAAAACGTGAAACACCTTCAACAAAAAAATCATTTTCGAAAGCTGTGTGCAAATTATGTAGCTAAACAAATTGATTTAGACAGAACTCTAATCTCATGCTCTAAACTAATTAAAAAAGATGTCTCAGCTCAATCCCTGAATAGGATTAATTTTAAATTAGGAGTCCCTGAGTCCTGTTATGAAAAATTACTATGCCCGGATATCTGGCCAACAAATGTTACCGTTAAGCCTTTTCTGAATTTTCGGAAGGGTCGACGAAAGCTATTACGGACGTAGCAAGTAGTACCCGACTGCACATACAAAGTAATAGAGAGCTGAAAATTTACTTTCAGAATTTATCTGGTATGAGAACCAAGTCTGAAATGGTGCACAACTTTAGTGAGCAAATGAATTACGACATCTTTGTTTTCGTCGAAACATGGTTGAATGAGAATTTCTTTGACGGTGAATTCTTCAACTCAAATCTGTTCAATGTATTTCGTAAAGATCGTGATGCTGAAAAAACTGGCTGCCTTCGAGGAGGTGGTGTTCTTATTGCCATTAAGCGTCAACTGCAAGCGTCTTTGGTCACACTTTCGAATGGTGATTCTTTACTGGATCAGCTTTGTGTTTGTGTTAACGGTTCCACACCGCAAGACTCTTTGTATCTTCTTGCGTCGTACGTGCCCCCGGGCAGCTCTTTCGAATTATACAAGGCCCACGCAGATAACATTGCTTCATTAGTCTTAAACAACGTTAAGGAGCATCACCTCTGCGTGCTCGGCGATTTTAACCTACCTAATATTAATTGGTCAACTAGCATTTCTAATAATTACGGTCTCACGCCAAATAATGTCAACTCAAGTCAAGAATTGTATTTCATCGATAATGTACTTAGTCTTAACTTAATTCAAATTAATAATTATTTTAATTCTCTAAATAGGCTACTGGATCTTATATTTATAAGTGACAATTTTTGTTGTGAAGTTAGTGAGTGCCTGAATCCAGTTACTTCTAAGGACAGACATCATCTACCACTTGTTGTCGAGTTTAGATTTTATCATTTTCCTCCGGTTACTACTGTGAGTAGACCAATCTTTAATTATTCTTCGTGTGACTTTGTAAGTCTTAATGATATTTTACTTGAAATAAATTGGGAGGAGCTACTTGGTGGGCTTGATACATCTGTCAGCTTTTCCGCTTTCAAGTCGATCGTATACACCCAATGTTTAGATAGGATCCCCCTGCGGGTAAAAAGAGCCTATAAATTACCTTGGTACACTAAAGAATTAAATAAACTCAAGAATCTTAAAAACAAATTCTTAAAAAAATTTCATAAGAGTAAGAATAACTTCCTCTTCAGTAAATATAAGCTATACTTAAAGGATTTTAATATTTTGAATAAAACTCTTTATTCCGAGTATATGCGCAAAATAGAGGGGAACATTAAATCGAATCCCAAAAGTTTTTGGAAATATCTTAAGGACAAAAAGTGTTCCGCTAGTGTGCCTACCGGAGTTTTCCTTGATGATTACTCGGCGAAAACTCCGGATGAGGCAGCTAACTTATTTGCTGATTTTTTTAAATCGAATTTTTCTGTGGACGATAGTAGTCTGCCGCTTGATTTATCGAATAGTCTGATCTCTGCCTTAAATTTCGGAGCTCTACATCTTTCTACTGAGGATATTATTAGAGCTGTTAACGTTCTCAAATCTTCTTCTCAAACAGATTTAGACGGATTTTCCCCCATCTTATTCAAAAATTGTCCGGCCCTGGTTTTTCCTCTTCAACTTATTTTCAACAAATCACTCTCGTCTGGGATCTTTATTGACGATTGGAAGGTTACGTCTATTACGCCTGTCTTCAAAAATGGCAACAAAAATGATGTGCGTAACTACAGGCCCATTTCCAAACTGACCACTGTCTCCAAAATTTTTGAACATGCAGTCAATGCTAAGTTGAGCTTTGCGGTTAAGTCCCTTATTTCTCCCTATCAGCATGGTTTCGTTGCGGAGAGGTCGACGATTTCTAACCTTGCTGTCTTCAGTGAGTATTGCATTGAGTCCTTTTCGGCTGGCTTGCAGGTTGATTGTATCTATACTGACTTTTCAAAAGCCTTTGATATGGTCTCTCATCGAGTCTTAATTTATAAACTGGGATGCCTTGGTTTTCATTCTTCCTTTCTGTCATGGTTAAGTTCATATTTATCCAGCAGGCGGAGTGTTGTCACTGTGGATGGGGTATCCTCTATTCCCTTTATTGCCTCTTCAGGGGTACCACAGGGGAGTATACTAGGTCCATTATTATTTAATCTTTTTATTAATGACATCAGTAATTGCTTTACATTTGCTAAATGTCTCCTGTACGCTGATGACCTAAAATTGTTCTCAATTATTAAGACGCCTGATGATGCAATGAAATTACAAGATGACATTTCCAAGTTACATCTGTGGTGTCATAAGTCTCATCTGTCCTTAAATGCATCTAAATGCTTTCACGTGACCTATTCTAAGTCATCTAATATTCTTCGCTCAAAATACAGTATATCAAATTGTGAACTTCAATGTCTTAGTGAGATTAAGGACCTTGGGGTTATATTTGATAGCAAGTTTTCTTTCAACAGTCATATTAGCCACGTAACCTCTAAATCGTACTCAATGCTGGGTTTTGTTAGGCGCAATACCGCAAAATTATGTGACCCATATACTTTTAAAGTTCTCTATACTTCTTTTGTCCGGTCTCACTTAGAATATGCTGTCTTTATTTGGCGACCTAGTACTATGACAGCTATAAATAGACTGGAGAGAGTAAAAAAACGTTTTCTTAAGTATGCTATTTGGTCGTTAAATTTTGTGGAGCCCATACCACCTTATGCTGATAAATCTCAAATCCTTGGAGAGTCGAAGATCTATACTCTCTTTGTCCTTTTCCTTCAAAATTATCAAGGGCCTAATTGACTGTCCATACTTATTAGAAAGGATTCGGTTTAATGTTCCTCAACGGCATCTTCGCAATGTGTGTCCGTTCTATGGGGTTAATACGAAAACGCAATACGCTTGTAATGCTCCTGTTAATCGTGCTTTACGAGAGTTTAATTCACTAAGTGATGCTATCACCTTGGATTTTTCGATGCAAAGTGATGCTTTTTTCTCGATGCTTAATTCTGCCTTATAAGTGGTTTGATTTATGCACAAAATTAGTTTGTAATCTATAAATTAGTTAAGTACATAGTCTGTAAGGATTGTATTCCAAAGACTTATAATTAAATAAATAAATAAATAAATAAATGTTTTTTAATGTTGGCTGTCGCTTCACCTGAACATTTGAAAAGAAATTCCAAAGTATCGGCGAAAAAAGGCCGACGCCGATGCCGATTAATTGTTCGGACGTAGAGTCCGTAGGAATAATGATCGACGATAAACTAAAACAAAAAAAGAAATGGATTCTATATTTTCAATTAGAGCTCTAGCAATATGTACATCGGTGAAAACTACATTCCATACATTAGTTTTTGCGTCATGCGGTTACAAACATACAGACAGACAGGCGAAGATTATAAACATTTTAGATTTGGCTTCTGTTGATATAATAAACCCCCTATTAATTTTTCTTTAACATCTATTATACAGATATCGGCCTGTTGCAATTTTATTATTCTCAAATACTTTCGTTTGATACCCATATGGCAACATTTAGGTTATCTTATAAATTGTACAGAATTAAAGTTTTCAAATAAGTGGCAACCCGTCTCAAAAATATTTTCGAAAGTAAGCTTCCTAATCCTCTTTAGTTTAATGACGGTATTGTAATATTTCATTTATTTATTTATTATTGTTTGATACCAATATTGCAATATTTAATTTATGCTATCAAGCTGTAAGCCTTTTTAAAACTCGTTCTTTTGACAGCCATATTGCAGTATTTACTTTACCGTATCAATTGACCTAAACTAAATTTTAAACATAGGTGGCAACTCTTTAATTTTTTTATTCTATATTGTAAGCTAGATCTCTAGCGATATATCGGTGAAAACTGGATTCAATTCCATGTTTTCGAGTGATGCGCGTACAAATATACAGACAGACAGAGAGTCGAAAATTATAAAAATGGTTTATTTTGCTTCTGTAGCTCTAATAAAAACCCACCATATTAATTTTTTTTTAATATCTATAAGGTACAGACATCGGCCTGTTACAATTTTATTATAAGTATAGATATAGATTTCATTTATTTTATCAATTTAATACTCTAAAATTTTTCACACTGGTGGCAACGCTCCCTAAAAATATTTTGGGCAGTAAAATTTCCTAAACCTCTTCAGTTTGATACCCATACTGCAATATTCAATTTATCTTATAAATTAAATTAAACTAAATTTTCAACCAGGTGGCAACTCTACAAAAATATCTTTGGCTGTAAGCCTTCTTAAGGCTCTTTCTTTTGACGCCCATATTGCAATATTAACTTCTTATCAGTTTACTTAAACTGCAATTTTCAAACAGGTGGCAACTCTCTATTTTTTTTCTATATTTTAAGCTAGACCTCTAGCAATACATCCGTGAAAACTGCATTCAAATCCATGCATTCGTTTTCGAAAATACATCGATGTATATCGGAAGGTCCAAAACATCGGTTTTATTCGATATATTGAATAGCAAACATCGATGTTTCTGATGCATCGGTGTTTTTTTTTGCATCCCTAATTCTTGAATAAATTTTGGAAGAACTTTAAAAACCCGTACGTACATGCTGCATACTATACACCGCTCTTTTCCTTTTTCCAATCATTGCAGCCAGTGTTGCCACAAAGATTTTTAATTTTTTACCAAACCTCTAAAAGAAAATTACCAAACTCAGAAAAAAATTACCAAATTTTTATGAGCATAATATTCTAAATAAATTGGAAATTATTTTTCGACGTATGTAGATAATACACCACGTCTGGGTTTGTGGCCAGTTTAGATCTATTTATATTTTTCGACCGAAAAATGAGTTCTTCCCATTCTTTTATGACAAACTCATAAAAATGCATGATGTCGCTGCCGTGTTCAAAAAATTCATATCACCATCGACTGAGCGTTTAGATAACGAAGATGAACAATTTACAGCTGTGGTTGTCCTTTTCAATGTGTTCCGACTATAACAATTCAGAAGTATTTTTAATGGCCGGTTGTTGAATGTATTTAACCGGACCTTCTACCTCCGATTTGTACTAATCAGACATTGAACAATCGGCCCTAAAACATAAAACAAAAAAATCGCTCAGAGATTTACAAACATTTAAAAGGTGTTTAATGGTTCTTTCTACTGCAGTTTATGCCTATTGGAAAAAAGCAGATTACAACTCGAAGGAGGTAGTTGCTCATATTAGGTACAAGCAAATGAAAGAAAAATAACAAAAACGAATAAATAAACATTGCAGATCACCTCTTGTTAAAAATATCTAAACTCTTGACTGTAGCTAAGCGTTTGGTGGAAATGGGCTGTAACATACAGTCTTTTACATAATTTATTTTACATAACTTAAAACCAAAACATGAAACCAGCAAATGTATCGTTAAACGGTAGATAAAATTTACTTTTACTATTTTATAAGTGGATCACATTCGTATTTAATGGCAAACTTTTAATTAGTCCCGTGAAATTATTTTCTTTCACCATTGGTTCCGGCAGGTAAAAATTATCCAAAATCCAGATTTGTGGGACTGTAGGGGCTGTGATCGAGCCGCCATATTGGGAAAAATGGGTGGTTTCCTGCTATATTGCAAACTCATACTAAAAGTTCTGAGTTGTCAAGGCAAATTGTTACATTAAAGAGCCCTTTCAATTTTTGGCTCTCTTAAGGTGTAGATACATACATATGTATGTAAGTACATAAGCAAATTTTTTTGTTTTGTGCAATTGTCAGAAGGTTTAAAGTTATACATTTTTTTATATTAGTATTAAAAACTTAAAAGAAACGTCTTACGTTAAAAAAATTACCAAATTGAGAAAAAAATTACCAAATTACCAAACTCCTTCTAAAAAGAAAAAAATTACCAGTTTTTGTAAAAAATTACCAAAGCGGCAACGCTGATTGCAGCTGCTCCATCACTGCAAATATCAACACACTTGCCCCATTTCAAATCATTTCTCTTTGTAAATTTGTCGATAACTTCCAAAATTTCGTCGCCAGTGGTGTAAGTCTCAAGTACTCCGCTCATCAAAAGTTCTTATTCGATTTGCATTGAGAATGGGTACTCCACAAACACAAGAACAACAGCAAGTCTCACTACGTCGGTACTTTCGTCAAAGCTGTAAACTACTAAGCAGAGGGCGATGAGAAGGCAACATTTTTTGTAGAAACGAAATCGCCATAAAAAATTTAAAGATTTCAATATTTTTATATGTTAAAATGGTTGTAAAAAGGATACGTTTTCGGCTGTTTTTCTGAAAATTTTCTTATTAAAG